TGCTGAGCGGCAAAGCATCCTTCAAGAATATAATAAGGCTCAAGTATGAATTTAGAAGGTAGTAAATGTGAAACTAATTCTTGGATTGTGGGAGAACTTTAAAAATTGATTTAGGGGCAGATATGAGATAATACTGGTAGATTTATGAGAAGATGCTATTATTATTCCTTTAATATCCTTGCTGCTGTATTTTGTGGCATATTGAGTTAAAAAACATGAACATATTGAGTTGATTTTTTTCTGCCCTCCCCCTCCAGAAATCCTGCAGGACGGACAGGACTAGTTGGTCGAGGTCTTTTGGGGAGATGGGGCCCAAATCATGCTGCAGATCCTATCATAACCAGGTAAGAACCAAATGAAATATCAGGAGCAGAGAACTCAATAATCAGAAAAATGTAGACACACAACACACACACACACACACACACACACACACACACACTATTTTCAAGAAATTTTATGTAAATAAATTCTGGTGCTGGAGTTATAAAGACTGTGATCATATATTGTATGAGAGTTAGAAATCATCAATCTAAGTTAATTCACCAGATATTATTGAGCATCTATCTATTTTTCTGCCCTCTGCATTGATTTAAAAAAAAGAAAAAAGAATCTTAAGTTTTGACTCTCTGTAATTAAATAGCCATGGTTTCATTTGCAAGTTGGAAACTGAGATAAGAAAACATATGTAACTAAGTGAAATGGGTGATACACGATGCATTAGAAATGGAGATTGATAAATTGGAACACCCAAGAAAGGTATTATGAATTCTGTAAGCTGAGCATAGCTCTTCGATAGGGGAGTATTGAGTGATCGTGGAAAGAGGAACTTGGTTGAAACAGAAGATTCTTGTAGGAGAATACCAAAATCAAAGTATAGAGGGTGATAAATTTAAAGTTAATATTTGGAGAATGCTAAATGCCAAAGTGATGGAGTTTGGATGGGAGTGAAAGTTGATGATTTCAGAATCGGCAGAAGATAATTCTATTGGTGAGCATGAATCAGAACAAAGAAAAAGTCAATGAAACGAATGTCTAGCTTGACTAGCCAGATAGAAATCATCTTTCCAGTGCATCTAGAATATTTTGTCTTTTTGTTTTTTAAAGGATTATAAATATTTCTTTGTTGACCAACTCCCTAAAAAGTCAAACCAAATTCATTGCTGTTGGGTTGATTCTGACTCACAACAGTTCTGTGTTGTTGTTAGG